AGGAGGAGTTTTCTTTCTTCTCTAGGAGGATGCAGAACCCCTAACCTCTGTCTGGACAGTGCTGATTGGCCCTGTGCTGATCACATGAACTCCCCATAAAAAAAAAAAAAAAAATAGACTGATTGTACTGTTGTGGGTTTAGGAACACTTTCAGGTATACAGCTGGTCAGTACCTTGCTAATGCTGAGCACAATGGCAGGTTCTAGGACATATCATATAAACATTAACATATTAAACATGTATTTTTAATCATTCTAAAAATGGAAGCTTTGATTAAAATGATCCTGCCATAAAGGTCTGTTCACGAACCTCCCATCACAGGGTGACAACGCTCTGTCTTCATCTCCCAATTGTACCCTTGTGTTGTCACCAGGGCTTCTGATAGAGGCTACAACAGGCTGTTTCAACACACATCACACAGGCATGGTCCACTGTTGTCACCATCAGGAAACCCGCCCTGAGAACCACCCTGCGGCCTTCTCTGGTGGGTAGTGGCAGCAAAGAGGCTGCAGGAGATCAGCAGAAGCACGGAGATGTAGCAAAGAATGAAAAGAGTATTTTATATTAAAAAAAAACCCAAAAAAACAACTTCTGTTTCTATTTTTAAAAAAAAAATCTAATTTATACAGCACTATATATTTTTTTCTTTTTTCTCCTCTATTTTTAGTTCCGATGATCTGTGTGACAGTTTTGTCGTTTTGTACAAATCCTTAAATAAAATGTGATCAGATCTCAGCTGCCATATTAGTAACGTTGTGCAGATATTGAGAGAGGTGTCTGGTCTGTGATGGTGACATTGTTCTGCTTTACAGATGCAGCCGGTGTCACGCAGCCTCGGCGCTGGATGGTGAAAGGGCGATACGGTTTCAGGAAGTGTATTGCGTACTTCCCCTATCACTGCACTGTATAGGATTACTCAATATGCTCATGGTCAGTGACAGCTCTGCTCAGTGACAGGACTGCTCGGCGACAGGACTGCTCGGCGACAGGACTGCTCGGCGACAGGACTGCTCGGCGACAGGACTGCTCGGCGACAGGACTGCTCGGCGTCAGGACTGGAATGCTCGGCGTCAGGACAGGAATGCTCGGCGTCAGGACTGCTCGGCGACAGGACTGGAATGCTCGGCGTCAGGACAGGAATGCTCGGCGTCAGGACTGCTCGGCGACAGGACTGCTCGGCGTCAGGACTGCTCGGCGACAGGACCGCTCGGCGACAGGACCGCTCGGCGACAGGACCGCTCGGCGACAGGACCGCTCGGCGACAGGACCGCTCGGCGACAGCTCTGCTCGGCGACAGCTCTGCTCGGCGACAGCTCTGCTCGGCGACAGCTCTGCTCGGTGACAGCTCTGCTCAGTGACAGCTCTACACACACTAAAGACTCAAATCTCTGCCGTCAGCACATGTACCTTAACGGTGCCACTGGAGGGGGGTGTGGCCAAGAAAGAGGGGACTGAAGCCTTCTTTCAAGCCCAACTTCAGTCAACATTGGACTCAAACCTTTACCATCAGCACATGTGCGCATGCACCTTAATGACGGCACTGGAGGGGGGTGTGGCCACTAAAGAGGGGACTGAAACCTTCTTTAAAGCCCAACTTCAGCCAACATTGGACTCAAACCTTTGCCATCAGCACATGTACCCTAACGGCACCACTGGAGGGGGGTGTGGCCAAAAAAGAGGAGACCGAAACCTTCTTTAAAGCCCAACTTCAGCCAACATTTGACTCAAACCATTACTATCAGCACATGTGCGCATGCACCTTAATGACGGCACTGGAAGGGGGGCGTGGCCTCTAAAGAGGGGACTGAAGCCTACTTTAAAGCCCAACTTCAGCCAACATTGGACTCGCTAGTCTCTCCTGCTGTGTAGCCTGGACGCTATATATAAATTATATAAATAAACATATAAAATGAATTCATATACCGAATGCCATCACTGTAGGTATTACCCGCATACAGTTACCAGAATTGAATATTTTTCACAGAAACGATACTTTAATTTCTTGCGGCCAAATAGCTGACTGAGCTGCGGTCCCTCTACGCCGAGCTGTAGGTGGCCGACTTATTTGTGGTTGAGAGTCATCCTACACTCAGCCCTAGGTTAGTCACGGATCACAATCTCCACAAGAGCCCGCAGTCATTGCTCATAAATGGAAGAGACATTTACTAGAAAACAATCGCTAAATATTACAAGATCATCTCATTCGTTTATCATGTATCAGGGGACGGCATACGAAGGAGGAAAATGTATCAAGATATGTCATGTACAACACATAAAGCCAAGCTCCAAGCAGATATTAAAGGCTGTCAATCCATCAATATATCATCAAATGTATTTTTTTTTGTTAAATACAATCAGTGTAAGTCCTGCGTTTGGCCTGCTATCAGCCTCCTGCAGCCCACTATACAGCAGAGCTCAGACTGGGGAGGGATAAGCAGCCACAAGGAGCCAAATCAGTTGTGCTGCAGTGCTCGTGTGCTAACAAAGGGCATGCTGATAGGAGGAGAGAGCAGAGTGACAGAGAGATGAGCTCACTTACAGGCAGAGGGAGGGACAAGACCTGTAAGCAAAACTTAGGTGCAGCAGGAAAAAAAAATTAGTTCCCGTGCCCTGCCAGACAGGGATGTGGTTTGTGACGGAGCTGAAAAAATATCAGGATTGGATGGACAGAAATGCACATGCTTTGGCAGGTAAAACGGCTCCCATATATGTATTCCATTTGTGTATTTAGTGATTTGTCTGGAGTTTTGTTTTTTTTTTGCTTGTATAGAGTAACGCACTGTACACACTATAAGAAAATCGTACCAAAATCTTCATACGAGGACCGATCGTCCGATAATCGGATCATTAGTACACAGCCAGGGGCAGACTGACAACTCATGGGGCCCCCGGGCAATAGGGGATCATGGGGCCCCTGTGTCCTTGCCCAAACTCAAAAAAGCCTATGAAAAAGGTACCAGGGTCATCTCATGGGGCCCCCTACTGACCCCGGGCCCTCGGGCAGTGCCTGAGTTTCCAAATGGTCAGTCCGCCCCTGTACACAGCTTTCAAGAGCCAATCACGACAATTCGTACGACAATATCCGAAGGGACAAGCGCAATCATTTTTTCCCGTACGATACCAGATCGTACGATTTTCATTTGATCAGTACAGTAATCTGAAAATAAAATACAAATACAACGCAATAAATGACATGACTTTCGAAATTCTTTTCTTTCATAGGAGAATTTTCGTATCTTTAGTAACCTTTTCACTTTTGATGTGAGACTAGCAGGCGAAAAAAAACAAGCGATCGTTCGTCCGATATTCTCATGGTGTGTACGGGGCTTAAGGAAGGATTAGGACGTCTGCCCAGGCAGGGATCTGGGGACCTTGGTTGGTCTCCCCTCTGATGAAGTGCGGTTGCACGAAAAGCTTTAGGAAGGAGCAACCAACACGCTGTGACGTCATGCCGCCGGAGACACCTGCAGGTCCGGTGGCCATCTTTGATATCGTTACAGAGCCTGCAGACGAGTCTCACCTATCCAGCACCCAGAGGAGGGAATCCCTGTAACCAGGCTGAGTACCCATCCATCCTAAAGGGGACCTCTGAATGAGCAGATTCCACTTACATCCCAAGAGCCACACCTAGAAGGAAGTTCACCAGATTCTAAAAGTAACAAAAATGTACTAAAATGTACAATCTGTTTGGCTGCCCTAAATCATTCTTTAGATTCAGTATACTGTATGCACACAGAAATACTATTTACGCTTCCCGTGGAAGAAATATTTAACATTTTATTTATTATGTATTTAATTTAATTTCCCTTGTCTCTTCCCCCCCATGCTCATCTCCAGAACTTCCCCCATCCTCTGGAACTCTCTACCCCAATTTATCAGACAATCGCCTACTCTGCTCACTTTTAGGCGATCTCTGAAAACAGATCTCTTCAGGGGAGCCAATCCTGCCCTCAGCTAATACTGGAATCTTCTACTCATCCTACCAGTCCATCCCCCACAGTTACTACCTTTTGTACCACTAGACCCTCCCTCCTAGATTGTAAGCTCCAAGGATCAGGGCCCTCCTGTATTGAACTGTATTGTTGCTGTATTGTCTCCCTTTATATTGTAAAGCGCTGAGCAAACTGTTGGCGCTATATAAATCCTGTATAATAATAATAAAAATATCCAATGTGCTTCTGGTGAGTGCGCATTTTTACCGTTACATCCAGGCACAAGCATCTGAATTCTACTTTTATTGTGATCATTTACCATCCATTATTTATGAACTTTTATTGCCATTTTTATTGCCATTTTACCAGCGCTGCTCTATTTATACATTTATCCAGTTAGGGATATACCCTCAAAAAAACACTGATGCATGAAAACCTTTTACCCTTTCCGTGTTACGCAAAAATATTATTTTTTTTAAATAAAGCCCTTTGGTTTTCATTACATACCTGTGATGTCATCACTGGGTCTCTATGCTTCTCCATGCAATGCAGGCACATCATGGCTAGTGGGAGGAGCCGGCAGGGTGCTGAACATAGCTTCCTGGGAACATCACAGTACTCTACCCTCAGTAATCCTCTCAAGTGCCCCCAGCCCTGATGAAAAGCAGTGGGAGGAGTTATGCAAATATAAAATTGGGTAGGTGCCAGTTTGGAGAAGTGGGCGTTCCTAGGCAGGTCGCATTTGCAAGATAAACGCCCACATGTGAGATATGCAAATACCAAAATGCCTTGATGGGCAAGTGTCAGTGGGTGTTCCTAGGCAGGCTGTATTTGCATGCAGACCACCCAAGGTGAAGCTGACCCTCCATGATTGCAAGAACTGAAATCCAACAAATGAAAGGAGCGGGGTCAGGGACAGTCAGGCTGGGAAGAAAAGGGCTAAATGATCCTCCAGCCAGGAAATGTGGCGAAGCTCTATCTGACTTCCTGCAGCTTCTAATGCACATTGTGAGAAGCTCACAGTGTGCAGTGACATCAGAGGAAGCCATTTCAGTCCAGGAGAGGAGCCGGTACAACTGTGCAAGACTGAAGGGGAGGAGCCAGTACACCTGTGCAAGACTGGAGGGGAGGAGCTGCTACACCTGTGCAAGACTGAAGGGGAGGAGCCGCTACAACTGTGCAAGACTGAAGGGGAGGAGCAAGTACACCTGTGTAAGACTGAAGGGGAGGAGCCAGTACACCTGTGCAAGACTGGAGGGGAGGAGCTGCTACACCTGTGCAAGACTGAAGGGGAGGAGCCAGTACACCTGTGCAAGACTGAAGGAGAGGAGTCGGTACACCTGTGCAAGGCTGAAGGGGCGGAACCGGTACACCTGTGCAAGACTGAAGGGGAGGAGCCGGTACACCTGTGCAAGGCTGAAGGGGCAGAGCCGGTACACCTGTGCAAGACTGAAGGGGAGGAGCCGGTACACCTGTGTTAGACCAATGGGAAGGCCGGAGGTCAGCTTTAAAAAGTGTATTTAAAACGTCTGTCCGATTGGAGAAATCTTCTCAAACGGCATTAAGGTGGCAATTAAAACCATGACTGAGGTTTAACCCTTCCTTACCGTAGAAGGAAAAAAAAAAGTTTGGCTTGGGGTAGACTTGGAGGTTCTTGGACGCTCTCGGGAACACACAGACCGCTGGCACGGCGGTGCAGTAAAGAGAGTTATGACAGCGGATTTAATCCCTTCTTGTTTGATGCAGAAAATACGGCGGATTAAAGTCTCCGGCAAGAAGTTGGTGGAGGCTTACAGCGCGGAGGAAGGTTGCATCAACGCCACATTTCTTGGCTTCTCCTAAGGCTGTGCGCCCGGCTCCACGTCTTCATGTAATGACAGTCCTGGCTGCCTCCCGGGGTTTACTCACTTCATCTTTTATGTGGCTGAGCTGCTCATAAACATCATGGAGATCCGCAAATTAGGAAAAAGGGATCCAACAAGGTTTAATGGAGAGGACAAAACCTGGACGTGGCTGGGATGAAGGCTTCGTGTACTCTTACTTCAAGATGTGGCATTGGACTCGCTATTTTATAGCACTCTGAATGCCAATCAAAGCGCCTGACACTAAATAAAATGGTTCCCTTACATTCCTGTTCACACCTTCAACAATTATGATCTCCATGTATAATACATAAGGGGGGATATGATCTCCATGTATAATACATAAGGGGGGGATATGATCTCCATGTATAATATATAAGGGGGGATATGATCTCCATGTATAATACATAAGGGGGGATATGATCTCCATGTATAATACAGTAGGGGGGGTATGATCTCCATGTATAATACAGTAGGGGGGGTATGATCTCCATGTATAATACATAAGGAGGGATATGATCTCCATGTATAATACATAAGGGGGTATGTGATCTCCATGTATAATACATAAGGGGGGATATGATCTCCATGTATAATACATAAGGGGGGATATGATCTCCATGTATAATACATAAGGGGGGATATGATCTCCATGTATAATACATAAGGGGGTATGTGATCTCCATGTATAATACATAAGGGGGGATATGATCTCCATGTATAATACATAAGGGGGGATATGATCTCCATGTATAATACATAAGGGGGGATATGATCTCCATGTATAATACATAAGGGGGTATGTGATCTCCATGTATAATACATAAGGGGGGATATGATCTCCATGTATAATACATAAGGGGGGATATGATCTCCATGTATAATACATAAGGGGGGATATGATCTCCATGTATAATACATAAGGGGGATATGATCTCCATGTATAATACATAAGGGGGGATATGATCTCCATGTATAATACATAAGGGGAGATATGATCTCCATGTATAATACATAAGGGGGGATATGATCTCCATGTATAATACATAAGGGGGGATATGATCTCCATGTATAATACATAAGGAGGGAAATGATCACCATGTATAATACATAAGGGGGATATGATCTCCATGTATAATACATAAGGGGGTATGTGATCTCCATGTATAATACATAAGGGGGGATATGATCTCCATGTATAATACATAAGGGGGTATGTGATCTCCATGTATAATACATAAGGGGGGATATGATCTCCATGTATAATACATAAGGGGGGATATGATCTCCATGTATAATACATAAGGGGGGATATGATCTCCATGTATAATACATAAGGGGGATATGATCTCCATGTATAATACATAAGGGGGGAAATGATCACCATGTATAATACATAAGGGGGATATGATCACCATGTATAATACATAAGGGGGGATATGATCTCCATGTATAATACATAAGGGGGATATGATCTCCATGTATAATACATAAGGGGGGATATGCTCTCCATGTATAATACATAAGGGGGGATATGATCACCATGTATAATACATAAGGGGGATATGATCTCCCTGTATAATACATAAGGGGGGATATGATCTCCATGTATAATACATAAGGGGGGATATGATCTCCATGTATAATACATAAGGGGGGATATGATCTCCATGTATAATACATAAGGGGGGATATGATCTCCATGTATAATACATAAGGGGGGATATGATCTCCATGTATAATACATAAGGGGGGGATATGATCACCATGTATAATACATAAGGGGAGATATGATCTCCATGTATAATACATAAGGGGGGGATATGATCTCCATGTATAATACATAAGGGGGGATATGATCTCCATGTATAATACATCAGTGGTTCATATAGTGAACTCGGTGTAGTTATTCCCCCTGAGGTCATCACAGAGGACAAGGGGGCACTCTTTACGTCTGGAGGAAAATAAATTTAATCTCCAAACACGGAAAGGTTTCTTCACAGCGAGAGCCGAGGGTTACTGCTGAGAAGGGGATCAGCAGAGCTGGGGGTTACTGCTGAGTGGGGGATCTGCTGAACAAGGGTACTAATAAGTGGAAATCTGCTGAAGGGGGTTACTAATGAGCTAAGGATCAACTAAACAGGGGTGCTAATGAGCTGGGGACAAAAATAGAAAATCAATACACGCAGGGCATTGCCAGTCTTCATTAAAGCTTCAAAAAAGTATCACTGAAGCATCAAAGACAACATTAATCACATTGAAGCGTAGGCACTTTAAAGGATATGTTCACCTTTTGCTAAAATATAAAAAATGTGCATTTATTTTTTTTTGTCGCAGGAGCCTGTAAACCATTCCACCAGCGACCAACTGCAGGAAGAATCCACAGAGCCGTGGTAGTTCATTGGGAACTACAAGCTGACAGCCGTCAATGAGTTGCATGGTCGGGCTGAGCCCTGATTTTTACATCTTGACAGCTAGCAGGAGGGGAACATTCCCCGGTAGCTGTCAGAGTGGGGGAGCGGGGAGGAGGAGCAGGGCGCGGTCTATTTTTAGCATGTTACACCCGGAATTTGGGGTGTAACATGTTATGAAAGGGTGAACTTACCCATTAATGTGTGTTAAAGCCAAAGCAAGTGCAAATAAGCCCTAATAGGGGATCAACAGCCATGTAAAGCCCCCCCCCAAGACAGATAGCATTGAGAAGGATCAGAACCCCCGTTTTTTTTGGTTCTTTTTCTGGTCTGGGTCCACGTAGAGAAGATTCCACCTAATTTCCTGTCCTGGAGTTAGGGAGGGTCACAATGGGACAGGAAGTGGTGGAAAATCTTTACAATAGAGAGATCCATATTTTCTAGTACAGTAGGGAAAGTGTGACCCCGAGTTCATCTTTTTCTAGTCTGGATGACACTGGAACACAAATTGAGGGTGAATGTCCCCAATGGCGTCATGCAACAAAACCTGTCTAAGGTTCTAACCCTTTACAGCTTAATCCAAAAAACTTCCATGCTAATGTGGCCTACTTATATCTGTGCTTACGCTGATTTCAGTGCACACTGGGCAGAGGGAGGAGCTGGAGAAAGTCAAATATACGCAGATTAAACATCAGTGTTAAAGATAGTATAGGTAGGTCCTCACATCACATGGGTTGGTAAGTCTAAAGTCGTGCAGAAATTGTAGGACTGCAACATGTATAGTGAGCTCAACAGTCTGCTTGGACTGACCATATGGCTAACTGGCCACGATTAGAAAGTTCTGAGCCAACCAAACTGTTCTTGAACCCCAAGTAAGGGTTAATGTCTCCTCGCGGTTGAATTGGTGACTAATTCTAGGGACAAAGCAGGTAATGGCAGTTTGAACTTTGTTCTTTAGCACTGATGCCAAACAGGCCTTCTCCAGCACCTCCCTGGGCAAACCCGGGGATTTATTGAACAGCAGATAAGGAGCCCTGGCTAAGTTCAGCAATCAATGGTCTGTTCCATACCAATCTTCTGAGAAAGTCCATTTCAGTAGAAGATCCCCATCCATTGCTTGCACAGTTCAGAGGGAGCCATAGACACAGACATGCGTGAAAAGTCCTCTCCAACTGGACTCAGGGCAAACCATTAACAGGTTAATGCACATATGTGCGTGCTGGAAAATTCAAAACGTTGCTAGCATCTCAAGAAGCACCAAAAGGCCAGCAAGAATGGTTAGAAGGCCACCTTGTTGAGAGGTCCTGTTTGGGAAGCCGCGACAGAACCTATGGGCATCCCCAGTGCTGGCTGATGCAATGAGTAGGGTAATATTGCCACTGAGCGCCCCCCTAAGCCCGAGCCTAACATTTGAAATTCTGTTTAGCTGCTTCTCTGATCCAGGCACCCCTACTGGAATGTATGGTTTGGCGTAGTCCACGGCCATCTACTGGGAAAGTCCATTCCAGTCGAAGATCCCCATCCATTGCTTGCACAGTTTAGAGGGGGTTATAGACATGTGGGCAAAGTCCTGTCCAGCTGGACTCGTGTTAGTTTTTTGTTTGCCACAAATTCCAAATTTTGCTAGACTCTTGGGAAACATGAAGGGGGCCACCACCTGTTGAGAGATCTGGTTTTGAAAGCCCCACGGGAACCTGTGTTGGCGAAGCAGTTAAGTCATATTTCCAACGAGTGCCTCCTAACCCCCAAACTACATGAGGTGTGGTTCAGTCCGAGAGATGTCCCTGTTTCTTAACATGTCAAGCTCCATGATGAAGGTGAGGAGAAACGTGTGCATGCCCTCCTACACTCTGGAGCTCAGCCACTCTTTCTACATAGCATAGCTGGGCCAGTGACCTTACTTTTTCCCCACTGCAGGATAAGAGTATTGCTTGGTCATTGACGCACCCTCATCGTCACATCAACATACTCAGAGGTGTTGGAAACTTTTAGACTTGCATGCGTAGTCAGATGAGGGAAACTTCAAACAAGCTCAATAGCCCTGGCATGGCGGCTCCCACGCTGCAAGGCTTCCCTCAATGGACACCCAACAGTAGCTCAAACCATAGAAATAAAGAAAGGAGTGCCAAACCAAAACCAGATGAAAAAATCCAAGATCATTTTAGTTGTTGGTAAAAAAAAAAAAAGTTAAAAAAAAGACAATAAACGTGTTTCAGGGGTAACA